TCTCTGAGTACTTGCTTGTTCACAAAGGATTTTATTTTTCCTTCACTTATGAAGCTCAGTTTGGCTGGATATGAAATTCTGGTTGAAAGTTCTTTTCTTTAAGGATGTTGAATATTGGCCGCCACTCTCTTCTGGCTTGTAGGGTTTCTGCCGAGAGATCTGCTGTGAGTCAGATGGGCTTCACTTTGTGGGTGACCTGACCTTTCTCTCTGGCTGCCCTTAGCATTCCTTCGTTTCAACCCTGGTGAATCTGACGATTATGTGCCTTGGGGTTGCTCTTCTTGAGGAATATCTTTGTGGTGTTCTCTGTATTTCCTGGACTTGAATATTGGCCTGCCTTGCTAGGTTGGGGAAATTTTCCTGGATAATATCCTGAAGAGTATTTTCCAGCTTTGATTCATTCTCTTCATCACATTCAGGTACACCTATCAAACGTAGATTAGGTCTCTTCACATAGTCCAACATTTCTTGGAGACTTTGTTCATTCCTTTTTGCGCTTTTTTCTCTAATCTTGGCTTCTCATTTTATTTCATTGAGTTGATCTTTGACTTCTGATATCCTTTCTTCTGCTTGATCAATTCGGCTGTTGAAACATGTGCGTGCTTCGTGAAGTTCTCGTGTTGTGTTTTTCAGCTCCTTCAATTCACTCATATTCCTCTCTAAGTTGTCCATTCGTGTTATCATTTCCTCAAATCTTTTTTCAAAGCTCTTAGTTTCTTTGCATTGAGTTAGAACATGTTCTTTCAGCTCATGGAAGTTTCTCATTACCCACCTTCTGAAGTCTGATTCTATCATTTCATCACAGTCATTCTCCATCCAGCTTTGGTCCCTTGCTGGTGAGGAGTTGTGGTCCCTTGTAGGAGGTGAGGTGTTCTGGTTTCTGGTGTTTTTCTCCTTTTTGCGCTGGTTTCGTCCCATCTTTGTGGATTTATCCACCTGTCATCTGAGTAGTTGCTCATTTTCCAATTGGGTCTCTGAGTGGATGTCCAGATTGTTGATAATGAAGTATTTCTGTTTCTTAGTTTTCCTTCAAACAGTCTGGCCCCTCTGCTGTAGGACTACTGAGGTCCACTACAGGCCCTGCTTGCCTGGGGTACACCTGTAGCAGCTGCAGAACCGTGGGGTTGCTACCCAATTCTTCTTCTGCTATCTTTGTCCCTGATTGATGCCCACCAAATGTCAGCCTGGTCAGTCCTTTGTGAGGTGACTCTGGATATACAGTGGTCAGGGAGCTGCTTGAGGAGGCAGTCTGTACTTTATAGGAGCTCAAGTGCTGAGCTGTGAGCTCTGTTGTTCATTCAGGGCTGCTAGGCAGGTATGTTTAAGTCTGCTGCAGCAGAACTCATAAAGCCCCCTTTTTTTCCCTCAGGTGCTCTGACCCGGGGAGTTAGGGCTTTATTTATGAGTATCTGTTGCACTGTCCTGCCCAGCAAGGAGGCAGTCTAATCACTGCCTGCCTGTAGTGGCTATGCTGAGCTGCTGTAGGCTCTGCCCTGCTGCCATGGGCTCCACCCTGCTGCCCTGCCCTGTGTAATTCCCTGTAGTCCTGTTTATATGGGTGTGGTTAGAGCTGCCGTGGTGATGATGGCCCGTCTCTCTCTCTGTTATGGCAGGTGGCCTCAGCAATGGCAGGTTACATCAGCAATGGCAGAGTACCTCCATAGGGTTTGAGTGCCTCGGTAATGGCAGACACCCCTCCCCCTCCGAGCTGCACCGTCCTGGGTTCAGCTGTGCTTGCTGTGAAACTCTCAACCCCAAGCATTTCCAATTGCTGTTTTGTTTGTTTTTGTGGGGGTGGGACCCACCGAGCCTGATCACCTGGCTCCCTGCCTCAGAGACCCCTCCCTTTTTTTTTTTTTTTAAGTTGAACAGTTGATTCTCTCCCAGATGTTCCAATCACCTGCTGAAAGGGCGCTGGGATCTGTGTGATTTACCATGCAGTGACCCACTGCGCCGGCTGGAACCACATTGCTGCCTGGGAATCTCCTGGCCTGGCTTTCTGTTTAAGTCCCGTTTAATCAGATGAATGTGCTAATCTGCCTTCCAAAATCTCCAATTGCCGGTTTAACAGGGCAACCAAACCAGTGTATTTTGTATGGAGTGCCGCTGTACTGTGGCCCCGGCCCAAACAGCTGTGCCAGCCCAAACAGAACTGGGAATCTCCTGGTCTGTGGGCAATAAAGATCTGTCTGGAAATGCAGCATCCACTCACCATCTGCGGTTTCACTGGGAGAAACTGCAATCCTGAGTTGGCCCTACAGCGCCATCTTCTCTCTCTCTTTCTTTCACTTTTAAAAGTATTTTCTTTCATCCCCAAGTTAAAAAAGAAACTCGGGTCCATAGTAGGGATGGGTGAGAAATGGTTCTAAAAGTTTTATCAGGCTTCTTTCTTTTTCCATCTCTGCAATTGGGCTAAGGTGACCAGCTCATCCTCATTTGCCTGGGACTTGCCTAGGTTTAGCATTGAAAGTCTCATGTCCCAGAAAACCCTTAGTTCTGGCCAAACTGGGACCATGGGTCACGCTATGACCCTCCCACCATACCGTAGAATCTTTGTTATGAAGAATCATATATGAAGAAAGAATTGGATAACATGCTCACTGTGAGAATTCTAAAGTGGATGAAGAGAAATGAGAAGGGGAAAAAAAAGCCAACCCATTTCTTCATTTTCCATACAAATCAGATAGTGAGCAAGCACAGTGACTGGAGGGCTTGCTTCTCCTGCCCATTGTACCCCGTTGCTGCATTCCCTTCCTCCTGGAATGTTCTTCCCTCTTCGTGTGTCCAAATCCTGCCTGTTCAAGCCTAGCTGGAACCTTTCCCATCTGTTCTAGCTGAAATTATCTCCTCCACCCGCTACCCTGTGAAATGTGAACACTTACAGTCTTTGTGTTCTTGTGGTACATGGCAACTCTTAGCTTAAAGTTGGGAAGAGCCATAAAGAACTCAAAAGGAGTTCAGAGATTTATTTATTCATTTATGACTTCATTCATTCTTTTATTTGTTTATAACTAGTTCTTAGAAAATTTAAGATATCTAACTCATTTTCAAATGGTTTAGTAAAAATATTCCATTGAGGGAGATGCACACAAACAGATCAAAACATTAGCAATCAAGAGGAAAGAAAGATGAGTTTCCACCGTATTTTAAACTTTCTGCAAGTTTAAAAATCTTCAAAATAAAAACTTAGGGAAATTACAATAAACTGACGTTGGTTCATGTATAAATTATGTCGCTATCCTGAGTCAAATTGGAATGTCTTCCCTTTCAGCTCATCCCTTTCCCCACATTTCAACATGATATAACAAGAGTTTTCTGGGGCCTCATGGCCCAGTGGGGCCTAGGCCTCAAACAAATCTGCAGAAGAGTCTTGCCACCTGCTGCCACCTGGGTACTGGAGATTTCCAAAATGAATCAGGTCCTGTCCTTGAGGAGCCCCTGCCTATTAGGGAGATGGTCAAATACATGAGCAAATACAACACATAGCGGAACATGTTGGATGGAGGCTGAGCACTGGTGAGCAGTCATTACTGGAGCATGTAGTGAGAGCATTAGATACCATGCTATGTGCTAAAAGGATGCAAAGACCTTCAAGACGTTACAGTTAGTGTAGGGTCAGCAGCAGATCTGAAAACACATGATTTTAATACCATATGGTAAGTGCTACAGAAAACATTAGTCTAGGGTCTCTGAGGATGCAGACAAGGAATATTGGACAAAATAGGGGACTGAGTCAGGACTATGGGGATTGAGGATGTGGCATCTGAGCTGACTGGTTGGAGGTCTGGAAAAAAGATGATAAGGGCAATAGGCGCAGGGAGGGATTGGCAGATTAGGACAAATTTGGCAGAGCAAATCAATGGGTCTTCGTGATTACAAGTGAAGGGAAAATCTTTTGCCTTCTTGTGTTGTGTCTTCTGGGATGTCTCATACAGTATGCTGCACATGGTAGGTGTTTAGCATATATCTGTTGATTGAGTTAGCTGAGACATTAGGCAGAGTCTGAAAACTCCACAGACTGAGAAATGGTATTTAAATCGTGTGTGTTTGTGTGTAAAAATTATAAAATGGAACAAATTTTAGAAAATGCTGTAATGTGGTTGTGGACTCTGCTTGGAAAGTGGTTACAGCATGAAGAAAACAAGAGGGCCCAGTAGAAGAAATCTTTCTCTTTATGTCTTTGTCCTGTTTCTTCATTATCTATAAGTCCCAGCCTCATTCATTTAGAACTGATTAAGAAGTAAAATAATTAAAATATGTAAGTGTCCTATCTCCCCATCCCTTCTCACTATCTCAACATATGCATGCGCTTGTGCGTATGCGCATGCACACACACACACACACACACACACAGATTGTTTTTTCTTTGAGATGGAGTCTCATTCTGTAGACTAAACTGGAGTGCAATGGTGCCATCTTGGCTCACTGCAACCTCCATCTTCTGGGCTCAAGCAATTCTCATGCCTCAGCCTCCCGAGTAAGGCACACACCACGACACTCTACTATTTAAGTAGAGATGGGGTTTTAACATGTTGCCCATGGTGGTCTTGAACTCCTGAGCTCAGGTGATCCACCCGCCTTGGCCTTCCAAAGTGCTGGGATTACAGGCATGAACCACCGCACCCAGCCACACACACAGATTTGTTTATTTTGTCTTCTGTGGTGAGTTAACATATACCCTCTATAGTCAAAATATAAATTCATGTGGTTGGGGGTGGTGTGGACCTTTACACATGGGCTTTAATAAATACACTTTGATGTTGACCTCCAGGGTCAAATAATCATTTGCCTGGATTTAAAGAGGAGACACAGGACATTGCTGGATTCAGATGAACAGCTCCAATCTCCAATCTCTCACCTCTCTCCTTGAATTGCTAGGAGAGGTGGAAAGATGGAGCACAGAGAAAAGTTCCCCTTCTGCATTTGCATCTGTGCCAGAGACTTCCCAAAGCACTTCTCAATCTGTTCTCTCTTGTGTGTGCCTCTCACACACCTGCCTGCCGGGTGCTGCTGCAGCGTCAGCGGCTCCAGTGGCTGGCCTGCTACAGATGCACCCGGCACAGCAGCTCTGGTTCCTCTGAGGTCCTGTGGCCAAAGGCAGGAAGAGAAAAGTCAAGGTTAGAGGTGAGGACAGAAGATTTGCTCTGGATGCTCCAGCAGAAATTGGGTGTCGGGGGCGGGAGGCACAACTGCTTTTGTCTGGTTGTCTTGGCTTCTACTTGGTGAAATGCAAATTTTTCAGTTGTCAACGTTGTTACTGTAATATTTACATCTTGGGATATGGTGGCTAGGACTCAGGTGCTATCTAGGAATCAAAGGAGGCCAAGTCCCTTATTTTCAGCCCCTGAGTCAGCCCCGATGCTTTCCACTACACCCTTAGTCATAAATGCCATCTGTAACACACATGGTGTGTTAATAGCTATTGAACGCTGCCAGTGTGGGGGTACTAGGCTATGCACCCTATATGGATTATGGTATTTCATTTAATTACAGCAGCATTGTAAGGCAGGCGGTGCTATCCTTGTTTTACAGTTGAGGAAATCCAAATCCTCAAGGCCAGTAAGTAACACAGTCAGGATTTCATCCCAGGGTGACCCGGCTGCAAAGCCTCTGCGGTGCTGTCTCCCCTGAGGTGTAGGATCCCATGTTAGCACTGGGCTGTGTAAGGTTGCCCTTTGTATAACAGGTGTATCTTCAGACTCTATTTGGTGATAAATTGGTCGAGAGTACAGACCAGGCCTTATAATATTTTATGACACAGTCTCATTTCTGGTGAAAAACAGAGCTAATCTTTCCATTTATTCTCCAATGAGTCAAACCAAATAATGTCCATGTGAGCCTCTGAAATATGGGGGAGAAAGTGCGACTGGGGCCTCAGGCATGAAGCAGAGCCCATGCTGCTCCCCTGGAAGCCCACCCCCTGTCTTCTCAATGCCCTATTAGAGCTCGCTCAGTTCTTCCGCAGATTCCTCCTGGCATTGAGTGCCGGATAAACAGTCTCTCAAATTTCTTACATGTTATGAGGCATTTCAGAAGACTCTGTATAATCAAATATGCCATTCCACATCTCATTTGTAATTTCACAATTTAGCTCTCTGTGCCATTTAAGCACATATAGAGTCTCTAGAGAAATCCTTATTTTTTTGCGAAAGCTTTTATATGTGAGTTTTGTGCTGATTTTGGTCTTTGCTCTATCTAATAAGATTCTCCCAAAGTTTTCTCACCACAAAAGGCTTTATAACATTTAAGGAACCATGGAAATAAACCCCGGTAGGCCAAATTACAAATCAAGGTAGGCCAACGAAGTGTCAGGTAAGAGGCCCAGATTAGAAGCTGAATGTTCTTTTCCTCCTGTGTCTATTCCCTTTGTGTTTGATTTGAATGGGGCGCTAAAGAATGCTCTGACTGCTTTACAACTATGCAGTACAATTGTGCAGTGGCAATTCACAAAGCACATCTTCCTGCATTGTATTTGGTTTCAGTTTCACAACTACCTTCGTAAGTGGGGCAGAGTGATTATTATCATGCCCATGTTACAGATGAGAAAGCTGAGGATTGGAGAGGTTAAGTGACTTGCATAATCCACTTAGCCGATGATGAATATTCATTAATTAATCAACTGCAAGCCTAAAATACAGATTTTCCAATTACAAGTCCAGTGCCTTGCCTCCCTGCTAATCCAGTCTGCCTTCCTAGTGGCAATACTTTGCAGCTGCTGAGCTGAGATTTCTGAGAGGAGACTGCAGTGTCTAAATTCTACTGCCCGTTTAGTTCTGGAATCCATCCACTTCTCTTTACCCCCAGTGCCAGCCACTGCCATCTTTTACTTGAGTCACTGCCAGGGTCCTATGTTGGTTTCCCTGCTTCTGGTCTCACCTCACTTCGGTCCAATCTTCATATTGCATTGCAGTGTAAATGACTTTTGTAAGTAAAAAGAAAAATTATTGGATGCTCCTTTGATTAAAACACTTTGATTGCTTCCATGATTTTTAGGAAAGCATCCAAACTTCCTCACATGGTCTCCAGTGGTCTGCACAAAGTGATACTGCTTACTTTTTACTCCCCGCTCCTGTCATCCACAGCTTCAGAATCCCTGTGTCATCCCCTTCCCACCTCCAAACTCTCTCATCTTGGGATCTTGGTTCCCTTCTTATTATGGCTCATTGTCATCTTCTTTCTGCTTCATTTATTTTCTCTGATCATGTTTAATAATTTTGGAGCAATTTGTAATCAGCTCCCCCAAAAAACTTATTTACAACTTATAATTACCATCAGTAGTAGCAACATCTAGTTTTGCAGCATGACTTAGGGTTTATAAAATGTCAATGTTACTTCTGATGATTATCATAATAACTGTGGTGGGCAGGGATCCGATGTATAAATGGAGGCACCAAGTTTTGAGTATGCTAAGGAGCTGGCCCACCTTCATGCCATGGGTAAGCATTAGACCCAGCATTGGGAATCAAGTCTTGAGAATCTAGTTCACTTAACGTCATGCAACCTGTCTGCATTGTTTAGCAGCTTCCATAAAGCATTATCAGGTAGATAGTATAAGGTGCCATGGAAAACTGGCTTGCATTTCATGGACTAGAAAGATTCACATGAGACGTGTTCCCAGGCAGAAGGATGAGAAGCACAAAGAAAGAGTGAGAAACAAAGCCCTGGAACAGCCAGCACATGGGCTCATTAACCTCTTCCAAACAATCTCTCATCTCTCCCAGCTCCCTGCTGACCAGAAATAAGTCAGAGGGGAATTTGCATAGTAAAGTTTCACCTGCAGGGACCTGATCTCTGGAGAGAGAGACAGAAAAAAAAACATTACCATTGTGGACAGAGTTTGCTTTCTGTGCTGAGTCATGGGGGCAGTTCTTCTTTCTTGGAATAACTGGGAATCGCACTCCTGGGGAAAATATCATGTCCCTAGCAGTGCTGCTTAAATGACATGAATGCCAAGGGCAATGTAGCTCCTGTTAAAACTTCTAACTTCCTAATGGTCTTTCCCACCTCACTTAGCATTCATTTATCACATTCTCATGCTATTCACTCAATAATAAATCATAATAATAATAATAAAATAATGTGCTGTGGCAGGGTTAGGGAAGATTGGGTCATAGTCCTATAGGTCAACAGTAAACCATTTTAAAAGAGGAGAAAAAGTACCCAAGCGGGGGTAATGGCAGAAGCATTGCGTGAAGACCCCGAAGTAGTCAAGAACATGGCAGATTCTCAGCATTTTAGAAGATGGAAGTCACAGAACTTAAAAGTAGGTTGACCTGGCAGAGGATGAGGGAGGGATGAGAGCCAGTGGTCTCCAGGGGTTTGGCAGAGCAGCTGCATGGGCCACTGAGTCATTTCACAAGGCAGGGGATAAAAAACTGAGTTCTTTCTTTCCTTCTAGCTCTCCTTTCTTCTCTTTGTTCTTTCAGGCTTGCTGATGGGTGCAGCTGGGAACATGTTGAATTTGATGTGTCTGTGGATATTTGAGTCTGGAACTTCGAAGATGAGTTTGGTCTGGAGATGTGGTCTGGGGATATCTCAGCACACAGATGAGCACTGAAATGATGGAGAGGATGATATCACCTGGTGAGAGTCTAGTGTGGGAAGAGTCTTCCCTGAGGTGGTTGAAGGATGTATTTTTTACTCCAAAGACTGAAAAAGAGACAAGAGAAACTGAAGTTACAGGGTTTTGTCATTGGGAAGGCAGTAGAGTGTGCCAAAGAGTGAAGCAAGGAAAAACCAAAGAACACCTGGGAAGATCTGGGAGAGAAAGAGTGGGTGAAGTGGCTAGGTGAAGGGGGAAAAGGTTATGCAAGGGGCAAAAAACTGGGAGGACTGAATGGCTCTGCATATTGTCCTTAGGGAAGCTACAGACTCGAGGCCCTTTCACATGACGTCTGATGTGTGCTCGGAAGGTGGTTGTGGGCACTTTGAAAAGCAGTGCCAGGCTGGGTGCTATTATTCCTAGTGTTGCCAGGTGATCTTTGTGAGGCCAGCATACATGGAAAAGGCCTTCAGATCTGTGCTCTGTTGAGCACATGTGTCCTGCCTTAGTTTCCCCAAGGTCATTAATTTTTTTTTCTTTTTTTTTCAGAGACAGTGTCTTACTTTGTTGCCAAAGCTGGCTTCAAACTCCTGACTTCAAGAGATTTCCCCGACCCCACCCTTTCAAAGTGCTGGGATTACAGGTGTGAGCCACTGTGCCTAGCAGGTCATCAGTCTTTGGGATGCTGTTGACAAAGCCATCTGATGATATCAAAGAGGGAATGAAGCCTCAGGTTTTCAGGCAGAATTCTCCACAGGTTTTAGCATCCAGTGAAGAATCACCTGTTTATAACCTTTGTAAAGTCAATGATGCTTCTTGGAAACAAGTCCATTCTCATATACATCATGACGTTGCACGGCTGAGTCATTTGTCAGAGTGCTCTGGCTTCAAATATACCTTCAAGTCTTAGACACATGACCTTCTCAGGTGCAGGAATCAGCAATTCTAAAAGTCACAGGTCTTCCATCCAAGGTCCTAGTTGCCTTCTATATCCTGTTCTAATAAACATACCTCCAAATCTTAGTTGCTTAACCCCATATACGTTTATTTGCTGAGGACATCAAGGCGAAACTATGGTCCGTGAACCAGCAGCATTGGCATTACTTGGGAACTTGTTAGAATTCAGAATCTCAGACCCACCCCAGACCTACTGAATTAGAATTACAGTTTAACAATATCTCCAAGTGGTGTGTAAGCACATTAAAATTGGGGAAGCACTGCCCTAGATTACCAATGTATCCTTGATGGTTCTCATTGCAGAGGGATAAAAAGAAATCAGATACAATGCAATAGAAATAGGAAAAAACAAACAGAGGAGCCCAACCTGCTGGTAAATCTTGAATTATGCCAAACTATGTAAGGCCTATGACTGAAATTTTAGCATTCGAGTACTCAGAGCATGAGCTATTGGAGCCAGCCTTGGCTCATGACCAGTGCATTGTTCACTTAGATGGTCTTACTCCTTCTATGCCTAGTTACCTGGGGGACAGATACCAGGGCAGGCTGATTTCCACTTCTTTAGCTTGCCTTTTTGCCCTTACTGCCTGGGCATGCAGGTGGGAAGAAGAGGAATGAATCCAGTGCATTTGATTATAAATGGACAGCACAGTTTTCCCCCCATGTTGCACCCCAAAGAGTTAACATTAAAGGGGTGATTACTGGCCGTTTACTATTTTCCTTTTGGTAAATCTGGTGTTTTTGCACCCCCACACCTATGTTCAAGGTTAATTCTGTGTTATTTTCTCCCTGCAGGCCTGTGCTGAGTGCCACAGGGAACTGCATTTAGCAACATCAAGCAGGAAAGGCAGAGAAAGCAGCAATACCTCCACATATGATTTGGAAATTGGCTCAGTCTCATGGCAGGAGATGTGTGTTTTTATGGTGTTAAGTGTGAAGGAGTGAAAGCAGCCAGTGATCAGGAGTGCCAACGCAGCTCCTTCCCTGGAGCCTTCCCGGCTGCTTCCCCTCTGTGGGAGATGTGCTGGAAGGAGTACTAAGAGGAGAGATTCTTTGCTTTAGTAGGGTGGCAGCTTTGGGAAAGAGACATGAGAGTGAGTGTGCAGAGAGCTTGGACTAAGTGCAAGAGATATGTGGGATGCATCATGTCTTAGAGGCAATCAAGCAAGAAAGAATGGAGTGGCAAGAGCTTCAACCCTCCAGCCCCTCCTTCCAGGACAGAGCCATTTTAGAGACCCACACTTTTACCCCATAGGCTGTTGAAGCCAGAAACAGCCCAGCACTTAAGAGGGGAGCGGACAATTAAATCACCAGTCTGGGCAGTATCTTCTCAGCCTAAACCATTATTCCCTCCCTTCTTTTAACAAAGATTCCTAGCTTCCCACCCAGTCTCTACTTTGTTCCTAACCGAATGTTGACTTCCTCCACCTGGGGAACAAGATATCAAGAAAAAAGATGCAGCTTGCTTGCCTCTCTTGCAAGTGGGCCTAGTCCATGCATCAGAGGTAAACAGAGGTCATCAGGTGGGACTTTCAGACGAGCCCTTCAATAGAGCTGTCTCAGCTGAGGGCACTTTTTCTCTTCCTCCTTCTTTCTGCCTTATATGTGGACATCCGTTTGGATCTTGATGCAAATTTGATGACAGAATCACATCCTAGTGGTAATAAAGCAGACATTTAGGAAGACACTGGTATCCAACGAGTACTATATCTGCCTATTCCTGGACTTCTGTGTAAGAAACCACTTGTTGGAATTTTCTATACATGCAGGGAACTCCACTCTGAGTGCTATATCTCTCCCGCATGCTGGCTGTATTAAGTAGGGAAAATAAATTTATCTGCTGTAACAAACAACTTCCAAATCTTAGTAGCTAACCCAACAAAAGTTTGTTACTCATGTTGAGACAAATACAGACATAACAGTTTGGCTGGCAGCCTCCCTGGGACCAAGGGACACATGGTTCCTTTGTCTATGGCTCTACTGGACCATATGCCCTTCGCATCCTCTATGTGGCAGGAGCTGGGGAAAGTGAGCAGGACTAGCGCATGAGCGGTTTTCTGGACCATGCCCTGATGAGGCACAGTGAGCATTCACTGAGATTTCACTGGCGAGAATTCAGTCACATGGCCACATAGGGTGCTGGGAAGTGTAGTTTGGGCATATGCTCAGGAGGAAAAGGAAATTAGTTTTGGTGAATACATCATAGCTTGCCAATCACACCTAAAAAAAAAGAAAGAAGAAAAGGAAAATAAAGAAAGAAAAAAGAAAAAGAAGGAAGGAAGAAAAGAAGGAGAAAAGGAAAAATGAAACAAAAAGAAAATAGAAATAAAAGGAAAGAAAAATGCTCAATTGTTCTGTAGAGGTAATTAAAACTTGTTTCCTGAGGCACAGAATATGTCAATTGGTATAAGAATGGAATCAATGAATGTAATTGATTCCAAATGGATTTATATGTTATCCAGCGTTCCCTTCCTTCAAAAGGGTCTTGTTCAGCAGCTCCATGCACAGAACACAGTGGTTACAGTTCACTGGGGATGAGGGGTTAGCTCCCTGTGGAAGCCAGTGTGGATTCACAGCCCCAGCAGGCCAGATTGGTGAATGCTATTCTGCTCCGTAAGGCTAGTGGCTCAGGAGCTAGATAGAAGTATGCCAGAATCTGGGTTCTGTGTTGTAACCCACCCCATGGCTGACCTTGGAGAGGCAACTCCCCTTTTTTGGGTTCTGGTTTCTCTATCTCCTGATTTGTAAAGTAGGAATTATAATAACTGCCCTATGCGTGTCCCTCTCTTGTTAGGGGTTAAGTAATGTAATAAAGCTCTTGGCCCAGAGTAGAGGCTCAGTAATCTCCAGCTGTTGTTTTCACCTACTTCAGCCTTTTCTTTGTTGGCTCTTTGTTGTCTATGGAGCAAGGCTTCACAGCTTGGTGAATGAGATCTTTCTCTCTCTGGCTCATACCTCTATTTCCAGCCTCATCTCCCACCACATTGTTTCCTCAATAGTTCTGCTTCACCCTGAACTTCTATTCCCTTGACCTGCCAGGCCCTTCTGGCCTGCCAAGCCAGTTCTGCAACTTGACACCTCTGTGATTGTTGCTCCCTTTACTTCTAACGTGGGGTCTCTCATTCTTGGTGCTACCGCTGACAGTTTGGGCCCAGTCTTTGTTGGGGAACTGCTCTGTGCATTGCAGGATGTCTAGCAGCATCTCTAACCTCTACCCACTAGAAGCCAGTAGCACTCTCCTGCCCACAGTCATGACCACCAAAAATGTCTCCAGACATTACCAAATGCCCCTGGGGACACAATCACTGCCTGTTGAGGACCCCTGTTCTAATGTCTTGCACTCCCTGTGTGAAAGGAGTGCTAAGAGGAGAGATGCTTTGCTTCAGTAGGAGGGCAGCTTTGGGAAAGCGATTCCTACGCATATTTAAATCCCTACCTATAATGTCAGTTCCTACTGTAAAAATTCCCCTATCTTCTCCAGAAATAATCAAATGTTAATCACCTCGTGCTCTGTGCCCTCATGGCACTTCATCTGTTTTGTGCGTTAGCGTTTACTTCTTTTATTCTCATTTATCTGTCCACTAGACTTGCTGCTATCTTGTTCACCTCTTTATCCTCGGCATCTAGTATGGTGTCCAGATGCTTTTTTAAAATCACAAAGTAAGTTAAAACATTTTTAAAGTTAAATGAATAAATTAATGACTGCTGAGTAAATAAATGCCTTCTCAAAGCACAGATTGCTGTTTAAGATGAATTTGAACAGTGAAACTACTGTCTGATTAAAATTAAAGCTGAAAGTGTGAGTGCTGCTGAGTGCTTAGGTGGGTTCGAGGAACCACGGAACTCAGGAGGTGTGCTTTGTCCGTAACGCCTGGACTCCAGGAGGCGATGGAAAGAAGCTCGGCAAGTTAGAAAGGAGGAAGAGGTGGGATGACCGTGGGATTGAAAAAGACATAGAGATCTGTTAGGAGATCTGGGGAAACTTCAACTGCTTTGGGTAAAGAAAGTGCAAGTGTATGAAATGGTGAAGCAGATGTCAGGCAAGGTCCAAATGAACCGCTTGGGGCAGAGCTAATAAGGGTGTTCAAAGAAGAAGGTCCAATCACTGCTTGAGAAGGAAGGGCTTCTGGTCAGAGTCCCACTCCCTCTTTGGCCACATATATTACCATGACAACACACTCCCTGAACAGGCTCTAGTCCAGCCCAGCTGGCCTCCTTGCTGTTTCTCCACACCTGCTGGGCTCCCACCTCAGGGCCTTTATGCAAAAGGCTCTGGTCTCCTGCCTAACTTGCTCCCTCATGTTATTCAGGTTTCTGCTCAGATCTCAAGCTGTCTGACTACCAGATCTACACTATTATCCCTCTGTACCCCTTACCCAGATTCATTTTCACTAATAGCATTAAATATTTATCTGCTTATGATCTACCTCCTAATTGAATGTGAGTTACATGAGGACAGAGATTTTTTTTTTTTTCACTGCTGAGTCTTTGATGCCTGAAGCAGTGCCTGGCACACAGTAAGTGCTTGACACATATTTGCTGAATGAATAAATAGACGCATGAATGGAGGGAGTTTTGGCCTTGAAAGGGTGGAAGAAGAGGTGGGTGTGGAGCTAGCCAGTGAGAGGGGATGGAAGAGGCTGCAGACTTGGGGCCCCTCCCAGTGGCGGCCCCTATTCCTCTCCTCTCACGGTGTGCAGGAGAGCCAGGATACCTGCGTCTAAAGCTGGCAGGCAGAAGGGAGGGCAGAAGGATTCACATTTGGCCTGCTACTTCTGCTAAGGCAGACGTGTTAGAAAAGATAATTGCAAAATATCAAGTGCCATGGAAACATTTATTAATACCAGGGGCTGGTGCTTCGATGGAGCCGGAGGCTTGCTCTGGCTCCGATGAACCGCCAGCAGTTCTGAGGCTCATCCAAAGCACTTGGTTTCTTGGACTCAAAATCACAATGCTCAGTACACAATGATTTAGTGCCTTCTGTCAGAGCTTCTCAGAGCATGTCACCACAGTCACCCTGCCCACGTCCTCGGGAGGAGGTGGCACTGAGCAGCGGGTGCGCAGTCCAGTATGTTTGTGACTAATGTGTTTTTGGAAGCCAGTATCCCCTCTTCAGCTACCCAGTTTTTCTTTTGCTTTGCATGTCTCTGAGCTGTCATTTGTTCTTCACAGCCAGGAATAATAACTTCTCTCTAACCTCCAGCATCAAAAACCTGCTCCCCAGCCAGCTGTTTTAGAGGGTCATAGCCTCAATGGGGATTGGAAGGAGGGTATGGGTTGCAACTGTAGGGACACTGTTTCTGTATTGCCCACAGGAGGAATCTCTGAGTGGTAGCTTCCCCAATCTCATGA